TTTTCGGCGTAACGTTGAATGCGATTAGCTTCTCAGTCCAGTACCGTTAACTGTGCAGCTGGCAACCAGTACTCGTTTTTACGACATTCAGTAAACGCAGAGCTCTGAATACTCTGGAGCACGAATACACACACACACACACACACACACACACACACACACACACACACACACACACACACGCATGCACAGCTGTAACATCTGCAACTGTTTAATAATGTTCCGTAATTAGCAGCAGGGAGGTGTGCCTTACAGCTACATGAAGTAAATATGGAAAATTCTTCGAATGGAAAGTTCACGGCATGAAGAAAACAAGAACCACTCTGCAACACCTTGCAGCTGTGACCAACACTCTAATAACTTCCAACCACACAATGGAAACGAAAACCGGAAAAAAAAAAAAAAAAAAAAACGAGGTTGTGAGTTTAGAAGCAGAAAGTTGAATAATAATGCTGCCAGAGAGCGGTGGTAACGTAGCAGACTTGTCTGACGATGTATCATTTACGTTAATTGATAGAGATATACTTACCCTTTCTCGTGAATTCGAAATTTATTATGTACTTGCTCATTGTGTCCAGAGTTTTTGATGTAAACAAACATCAGTCTTTACCACCATAGTCTAATTTTGTACCTACATTTTTTTTTCTCTTTCAGTCTGTAAAATCTCCCACTGTCACAAGCTTTACCAGTGCCCCCCACCTACAGCTGCATGAATTAGGGTATCTCCTGAGAATAAACATACATTCAAAAGCCACAAAATACAGATTAGAGCCTTTTTTTCCCCTCAATTCAGCAGCATCTCAACAAAGTCCCACGCTTACTTTCCTTTTAATCAATATCTTCAGTCACACGGTTTAGCTTTGGGGCTTTTCACCTCTTCTTGCTTTTATGAATCCTTGTTTGTTCCTGCGTCAAACTTCAGAGGCCCAGCGCTTTGAAGCTGCACTTTTGCTGAAAATCAATCTTCAGCTACAGCGAGTATATGTTTTTATTTTCTTTTACAGAAGAGAGACGTTGCCCACATCTTGACGCTAGAGGTTGACCCGCCTGAAGAGAAGGGCAATCTGAATCTAAAGGGAATCTATTTAAACTGCGACGAACCCTTTAAATTACATTATCCTCCTTGCAATTTTGTGCTACAGTGTCCCTGAGTGCATCAGGCTCTCAGTGGCAGGAAGAGTGAAGGTGGAAAATGAAGAAGCTTCTGGTGGCTTTAGTCAAGCGCAGCAGACAGGCCAGGGATGAAGCTGTGGAGACGTTTAGAGCAGGGTTACGTTACGAAACCGTCGAAACCTTTAAGCATCTCATGGAGAACTGTTGAATCCATCAATCAAAAACCAGAAGGGCATCACATTTTATCCTGCGAGTACAACATTTTTACATTTATAGAATAGGTTTCTGCTTTTTCTCAGAATAGGTTTCTGAGGAAGCAGAAACCTACTCTATTCTTTTAGGAAGAATCCCAGCTTCCCAGCTTCTTTGTAAGTCAGATGAATCAGATTCATTTTAAAGTCTCTGTATTTCATACCTGTCCACTTCAGGACTGAAATTAATGTGCTCTATTGTAACACCTTCGCAATGGCGCCTACAGTATCAATGCCACGTATTACTGTGGATTTTAAGGTGCTTATCGTATTTGTTTTTGTCCCGTATGTCCTTCGTTCTCTCAAGTCTTATATTGATATGAAAAAGGAGGGAAAAAGGCATCTTTTGCTTTTTACAACCCTTCAGCTGTGGAAATGTTTTCCTTAGGACCTCAGAGCAGCTGACATTTTGGATGTTCCTGAAAGCAAACAAACTATTTAGTCTATAGCTATGTCATATCTCTTATGGTTAATTATTTTATTTCAAAGTGGGTTATTAAATATTTTAAGACTTTTTTATTAGCTGTTTTTTTTGCCACATAACTGTTCATTTTTAATAATAACGCATACATAAATACATACACATACATACATGAGCTCATGGTGATGTGAGATGATCAAACCATCCACATGAGGTCACAGAACCAAACAAAACTTGCCTGAGCTCACAAACCATCGCAAAGTGCGACATTGACTGCTGGCGCTGACATCATCTCGTCTTCCTGGTCACTGTGCCAACAGGGCCAGTTCGTTTCGGTCAACACTGTTGCCTTTAGCATGTGAACGCCACATATCACCGTGGGTTACCACAGACCTGTGACTGTGCACTTTACGGCTAAAAAGTGGCCTAGAAGCTTTGGCAGACAAATATTTTAAAAAACCTACTACTGACACTAGAACCAATGTGAGATATGTGCTCAAGACAAGCTAAAAAGTAGTATTTAAAAACACATTTAAAAAATAGTATTACTACCCACTCTGGCTTGCACATACACTCACATAAAAGTTGACAATAAATAGCTAGATCACAGCAATTTAGGGGAACTCCATATTGCTGTGAATGGAATCATGATGCTACTGTACTATTAGTTTTCACCAAACAGGTTTTTATTTCCTACCACATTGCTGCTAAACCTGGTGTCACATCTGCAGATGCTTCCTAGGGGAGGTTTTTGCCCCTCCACCGTTCAGTTTTAGGTTTAAGTGACAGCAGTCTTTCATTGCTCTCCTGGTTTAATCTTCTGAAGAACAGAATCGGAGTAAAGTCTGGACAGATATGAAGATATGACACCATACAGTCCTGATTTCCACCGTTCTCCTGAGGCATCCCCCAGCTCTCTGAGGCTGGGCATCAGTGTAGGATCAAATCCAGAAAATGAAAAAAAAGACACAGATTTTAGGTAGAGCAGAATGCGGCAACACAATTCTATTGGTTAGCTTTGTCCCCTCTTCACATCGAGTGCATTGCTTTCAGATTGTGGGAAGCACAACTGTTGGCACAAACATTCATGATAGCAGGCTGCCAGCGGGTGGTTTTTGTAATCAGCAATCAACGGGTCGGCAAACAATGAAAGGAGCAAGCGGTCTTACCAGCAGGCAGTTAAAGATGACGTAGAGGATGAGGAGCCACAGGTATCTGTAGCCCATGTGGAGTCCCGCCCACAACCAGACCAGCGAGATGAGCAGAAACAAGTAAAGGACCAGCGGCACCTCTGGAGCACAAAAGAAAAAAAAAAAACGGAATAAGACTTTAAAACATCATCTGTTAAAAACAACTACAGCCAAAAACTTAGCGCACCACATGTGTCTCTTTGTCTTATAGAGACCGTAATGTCCACCTGAGCTGCTTTTTGGCTGGATGCCATGGTCTCAGTCATTGTATGGATGAGCCCAGCCTTACTTTTTAATGTACACTTGGTGGGACATTTATCTTACAGAGTGACAAATAACATCAATTATCCGACTCGGATTTGAACAATTCCAGCCTGCTCATATTGTCTTCTTCATTGATAAACCTGCACTAAACATCAGAAATGTGTCTATGAAGTAGCTAACATCAACGCTGCAGTTTTCTAACTCCAACAACTAATCTTTAAATACTCTCAAATAACAAGTGGGTACATTTTCCTTGTGAAATCCATTCATCAGAGAGTGATACTGATTGGAGAGTTTTACCCGAGTTCTCAGTCTTCTACGTTTCGGCCTTGTGTAAAAGTCATCTGATGATATAACGCATCATACACATGCAGATATTTGAAAAGCTATGCAGGACTTCAAATTTCAATGTGCCAATGCAGATTTGAAATTCAAGTGAAAAAGATGTGGCATAAAGCAGATAAACCATGTGGATCCAGACTAAAGCCTCAAACACTGAAGCAGACATGCAGCGAGTGACCTTGAATGACCCCCACCACACAAAGACCTGCCTCTACGCTCACACGTTTAGGCTCTGCTGCTGTACTCATGTGTTGAGCCTCATGTCATCACTAATATGGCTGAGGGAAAGAGAAGTGGATATACTGGTGTTCTGTAAAATGGTTTTGATTATTAAGACATGTCTATTTTTTAGATCCTGATGCAAATTCAACTGCAGGTACATCAAGGCCGCAGACCTCAATAGAGTGGATGTGACGTAAGTAGCCTGACTGAAAACCCTTCAACTCGCCTGCTTCAACAGGTTCTGTTAACAGATGACCTATAAATGTAAAAGGCGCGACACTTCCTCCCTGCTTCCAAACAGCACCCAGAAAGCCCACGCACGTGTGAAATACAGTATGCGCAGTAAGAGCAAACATGCGACCACATGGCTCAAAGACTTCCTGTCTGCATATTAGCAAGCAAACGCAAAAGTTCTGTCTGCCTGGAAGGTTTTCCTGTGTTTCTAAGATTAAATGAAACTAGAAGTTCAACCTGTTTCTGAAAAGGTTTCTCTCAAAGCTACTTTTTTTTTTTTTTTTAGAAACATGGGTCTTATTTTGATGCTTTAAAGCAGTCTGCCACTATCAAGACGATAAAGATTAATTCAGTTGTTAAGGAGAGGACATGTACACTTAATCTACATCTTGTATTAATAACGCTTTTTGATTCATAACAGGAACGTTCCAGATAAAATCCCCAGAGAGGCCGAGCAGACAGAGTGAACCTAAGCTCTACCCAAGTCTGATTGCCTTATTAGGAAACATTGTTAGTAGCAGCTTTTGGACCGAGACACATCTGTCAGTTTAGTAAAATGAAAAAAAAAAAAAATAAAAATACACTAGAAGTGATTATCCTCCCGATCTGCCCCTAGCAGTTTTCATATCTAATCCACATGGAAGTGCTGCAACTTGAAAAAGTATTCATACCCTTGAATGTTCATACATTATGTCACAGCACATCCATAGACGTCTGTGCATTTTTGGCACTTCTCTCCGTAGGTGTGCAAAGCTTGCAGAGACACAACAATAAAGAAAGAGGTTTTGCAAAAACACTTACTTTGGGAGCCTCAGTCCACGCTCAACTCACTTTTCAGATGTTTGTATGCAAAATAAAACTATGTTTACCTTTTCCATGTTTGGAGGGTATGCATGCTTTTTCAAGGCACTGCATCTGTCATGAGTATATGGGGCACATTTGATGAGACTTTAATTCATCTTACCTTGTCAAAGAAAAGCGAGAATAAAAAAAAAAAAAAAAAGAAAAATCTGGTTCTAAACTCATCTTTGAATCCTGTGGGGTGACCTTATATAAAACTACTATGCTGACTCAGGTTAGCTGTAGCTTGCTGCTATGTAGGACACAGTGTCCAGCAGAGTCCACTTCACTTCACAAGTAGGATGGAAACACGGAGCCCAGGTTTGCACAAAAAGCCCTCACTTAGGCGCCACTTCCTTGGTTTTGTCGTTTCCACTCTGCTGCAGTGTCTGCTTCTTTTCTCAGACTTATTCCTAAATCCCGCCTGCTGCCTTCATTGGAGACATATTTCCCTTAAGCCTTCCTCCCGAAACACTGATCATTGTTTATGACGTTTCTGTGGTCTTATTTCTTATCAGAACAGTATTAGAAGACAGCTTGAAGACAGCTGGCTCTTTAGGTATTTATGCTGCTTCCAGCAGCACATACTGTTCCTATCTCATTCGCTCTCTTTCTTCCACTCAAGCACATCTGTCTGCTTCTCCTCTCTAACCAGTTTGATTTTTCCAACCGTGTAAGCACATTCCACTCTCTGGACGAGACAGAGCTCCCACAGTAAGAGCAGGTTCCCAGAGCCAAATGGAGACCGACTGCAAAATGCTGACTGGCAGTTTGACTGGATATTACCAAGACAGAGAAAAACAAAAAACAACAACAACAAAAAAAAAAGTATATGAGCACAAGATGAAACTGAATATGTGCATCTTCCTGTGAAGGTTTGTTTCATTTGTCTGTTTGGATGAGGGAGCTACTCTTCTCCACAACTTTCAGCTTACAGTTTGTATATTAGCTCAGTGTCTTGGCTTGAAAAGACAAACCAGAAAATACTTAAGAAAACTTTCAGCGGCGACTCAAACAGGTCAGCAGCTGTAGCAACAGTGAGCTGCAAAGAGGACGTGGTGATAAGATAACAATACAACATCTGCAGCATCAGCATTAAGAGATTAAGAGAAAAAAAATGATGTAAGAGTTTCGAACTGTAAACATAGGCCTGGGTGGCTGATAAATTAACTGGACAGACTATGACCAAGGGTATAGGGACTTTCAAAACTATTCATAACCCTTGAATCAATTCCCCAAGTGGGGTAAACACATGGGAGGGAGCGCTCTGGTTAGATAAAACCTAGACTTGACTTTTTGCCCGAAATGCCAAATGCTGTATATGGTGGAAACATGACTCTCCACATGACCCAGAACACAGGTGAAACACGGCGACGGCAGCATAATGTTGAGGTGATTCGACAAAGAAATGATGGCTACATCAAAAATTACCAACACTGTTTTTTTCTCTTTTTTTTTTACAAAACAAAAAGCCTTCACTTCACACTTCTGTGATAGTCTCTCATAAAATCCTGGTGAAATAAATTCAAGTTTCTGTTTGTTGCTAATGTTCACAAGGTAAAGTACGCTGTAAACAATAAAACACTTTGCAATAAAACCTTGTCCATCACATGCATTTGTTGATTCCTGCTCTGGCCAATCAATGCCTGAGCAGCGTGTGTTCATGGAGCAACTGGTGCTGTAAAAAGCCTGTATCAGGAAGAACATCAAGTCTCATAAACACTCCTCGTGGGCTGAGCTGGGCTGCGATAAGGGTTCTCAGATGACATTTTGATATCCCTAATTTCAAGTTCAGTTTGCTTCCTTTTCATTGCCCAGCACTGCGTCGGGCACAGCGGGAGAGTTCCAGTCATTCTCTGGTAGGTACGTGTTCACAAGTGGTACGCAGCGTGCTCAGGCAGACGCTGACCCGATCCTGCTGACGTCAGCAGTCCTGCTATATTTCACATAGTCCTGTGAGTTTAACATGTGGGCTTCTCACACTCCTGCGCCAGTAGAAAGATTAGACCTCGACTTATCACACCGGCTGTTTCCTGCAGTGAGGAGTTTGAAAATTGTGACCTCAGTATAAGCAACAAGAGTCCTACGAATTTGACAGCTAATTGGAAACGTCAAGGTTGAACTTGAAGTGAATGTGCGCGAGCGATAAAGAGTCTCTCATTTAACACTAACTACTGATAGATGATAACAGAAAGAACCTTCAGCTATGTTCGATAGAGGAATAAATTCAAATTAGTAGTTTCAAGGCTGCTTCATATCGGAGGTTGGGAATCTGTCAGTGTCCCCAATGAGCTAAATATGTTTGTGCAGATGTGACCCTCAGCCTGGGGTGTTTCAGCATGGAGTTTGCATGTTCTGCCGGTTATCTTCAGGGAGTCTACCTTTGTGCCACAATCCAAAAACATGACTGCCCTCAGGTTAACCTAAGTGCAGGCTTTGCTGTTTGTGCTGTGAGCCGCTGGTGATGAAGCAACGATAGGAAGCAACGAACAAGGGATGAATAGATGTTCCCAGATCTTGTTGGTTATTTTTAAAATTTGTTTTGGACTTTGGACATTTGTGAGAGAGTCTGTGGACACCACAGATTTCATTGCACGAGGCTCCAATAAATCAAAATGAAATTGAAAACGCTATATTTAGTGTGGAAGCTTTACGGATGGTTTCTGTGTGCAAACAGGGTTCCGTTGAGTCATTATGTTTCCAGATAACAGACTCAACAGAGTCTGTTATCTGGAAGGCAGAGTCTTCCAGATAACAGGAAGGCAGAGTCAACACGGTTAATTCCTCTAAACTTTGATCAGTCAGTGCTGCCAAGTTTTTGTGCCTTCAACTAACATAAATACAATTTAAAGGTACGGTGGTGAGTGTAGCGTCCATAGTACAAAATGAGAACTTTACTGCAAAGCATTTGCAGCCATCTACTCTCCTTTCATTTGATCACCTTGTTCCTTCAGTTTTAGGGGGAAAAAAAGTGTACAGAGCAAAATGCATTAAGTCACGTTTGGTTTGTCACTGAAGGGCCGTGACTGAGCACAAAGCAGCTAAACAGCCTGCTGATTGTCAGTGATAACAACCTGAATGATGAGAGACTGAAGATGTTTGGGTTGGATCTTCATGAGTGGGCAAAATGACTGACTGCACTGAGTGAATAGCTCTGATTCACTCCTCTCCCACTTCTGCTGAGAGTTATTTCTATCCAGACAACACAACTTAATCGTGCAGAAGTTCAAGAGTGTTTGCACACATCTTGGTACGTTATTATAGTAAGAGCATTTACCACTTGTAGTTAAAAGGGATTTCAAGTGGTATCCTTAGCCAAATAGATGTGATGGCTGAATAAATACAAGTTGCATTGTTTCACTCACAACAACATGACTTTCAGTGGGGTTTTTTTCTGTTTATGTTTCTGAATACAAGTGGGGTAAGTTGGGAGAAAGAGTCATCCCAGTATGAAAACAGCCTTAAACATAAAGCCAGACAGTTTTATTTTGTCTGTGTCCTTCTTGACCTCAGTCAAATGAAGTCAGTTATTTGTATAGTACTTAATTATCTTAAAGTGAAAATCCGTAAAATTTTATTTAATCTTAGAAAGTACAAATCAAATATCTATACATTCTGACTTTTGTTGACATTAGATGGAAATGAGTTTAGAGAAAAGTATTTTCATATTTTAGAACGAAAAAGTCCAGAAAAGTCAGACCTAAAATCAATAAAAATCTTTCAGAAGGTCTATAATTAAATATTTTTTTTATTGTCTAAGACATAACCCACCCCGAGTTTACACTGTGGTTTTAGAGTGACAAAATGTGGAAAACTTCAAGGGGGATAACAGTTTTTGCGTCGCTCAGTTTGCCTATGTAAACAGGGGATGGATGTGTGTCTCTTCACATATTTGGAAACAAGTAAAAAAAAACAACACTGAAACGATTACATTGGTTACCTGTGCTGTTTGTCCTTCCACGATACATGTCATCGTAGGCCTTCCACTGCTCAGTTACCTGGTAGGCGTGGATAAATATAACCAGCACTGCAACCAAGCAGATGAGAGGCACCAAAACCGCCGTGCACAGAGCTGCATAGATGTTTGGGATGAAGCATCTGGAGAAGAAATACGGAAACATGTTAGAAACTGTGTTTTACGCTGTGTATTTCTTTTAAAAGAAAGAACAAACACATTAGCGTGTGTTCAGCGTGGAGGTCTGGAAATCACACATCACATGGTTTTTTTTGTAGAGCCGGGTGTTTTTAGCTCTTAGTCTGTTTCTCACTGTGTCTATTTTTGAAACTTTTCTTCATATTTCATGAACAGGATTTTCTCAGTGAGACTTCTGAGCCTTCCTAAGACTTAAAGGATTATTGTTCAACAGCAGTGAAAGCAAAACATGTTCATTATTAACTCTGCTGAGCAACAAGGCCACCCCAGTGCTGCAAGCGGATAAACAACAAGGTCACTTGTTCTCCTTATTTAAGACTTGGACGAAAATCACCAAAAAAACCATGTATGTACTGAAAGCTCTCTAGAAAAGCGATGATTGAGGATAAATTGAAATAATTTATCTATATGGGGCAAGGTTTTATTTCAGCTGGTGTTTTGCCATAATCTTTCTCTTGTACATGCATGTTTGTCATTTTAAACCTTTTCCTCTGAAAAATCCTTCATGCCCATATGAGAATTGAGCAGAGCTGAATGCTCACGTGACTTTTGTACTTTTTTAACAACACAAACTCGTTTGGTGGGAGCAAAGAGTTACTGATAGGATTGAGCTGGTGCTGTAAACTAATTAGAGCTGTGCTAGCCAAAATATAAGGAGGTATGCCAAATAAATATGTGTGTCATATCCTCCCACCAATTCAGCTTTCATAGGAAATGGGTGTCAGTGCTGCTTGTTTTTATGAGGGGGAGAGCCAGCTGTATTCGAAGACTCAGATAACATAACATTTCTAGGGATTCCTAAAGAGGATGAAGAAACTTTCCCCAGCTGTAAGGGTCACTCGGTGCATTTTCTTTTCATATTTACCAGACAGCATGAGGTCATAAATCACTCAGTCCAATGACCTTATGGACAGAACTCTGAGCTCAAGCTCAAAGTTTATGAAATGTACATTTATTATTGGCATGATATGGTAACATTTTACTTGACTATAACAGTAATTCAAATTTGAACAAATAAGACAATAAAAGGACTTAAAGAAACTCTAATGCCAAGAAGTATATACTGAGCAAAAACTACTGGGTCTTTTGACCCAAATACTGGATTTACGGTGAGACGAAATCTTGAGTAGTTTTCATCAAACGTTGTGTTATAAACTTTGACCCAGTTTGACCCAACCTGATCAGACTTCAATTAGTTTCTTCCGAAGGCGGAAAAAAAAAAAAAAAGGGCTGGGTTTAAAGATTGCCACCATATTGAAACACTTGCCTTTGTGCATATTTGGAAATTACACTCCATTCTTAATAAAACGGTTTTGATACAACATTTAACCCCATTTGCAGCTAAAACAGCTTCAAGTCTTCTAGAATGGCTTTCTGCAAGATGTAAGACTGTGGTTATGGTCAATTTGACCTTTCTTCACAGATAACACTGGCAAAGTCAAATGCTGATACTGCACAAAAAAAACTGACTTACAATTTGCTCTAATTCATCCCAAAAGGTGTTTTTTTTAGGTTTAGGCCTTTGTGCGCTAGTGCTCTTCCATGTTAGAACTGTAGGGGCTAAACCCAAACTTTTCCCACATATTCACTCCTTAGACACAAAAGAAACATCTAAAATGTCTGGAATGTGATCAGCGTTCCTTTCTCTGGAGCTGAGGGACCAACAACACGCCAGCTGGACGTCATAATATCCTCTGTCTCAAACTTTATACTCGGTCTTTGGCAGTCAGGAAAGTGAAGTTTGCCTAGCAACTGTCAACCTGGGCTAATCAGACAGACGCATAATTTATCACTCTAGAGAGCACATCTCCACCACTTCACAGTTTATGGTCGCTTGCTTTACACAACTACATCTAAAGCTTTGTATTGCAATGCACTTTTGGATGCAGCTGCTTGAGTATTTAAACTGTTCTTAAATTAACCCGAAGCTCGAAACTCTGTTGGCGACCTTTGCACCCTCAGTGATTTTATTTGCCCACCCACTTCGGGAATCGGCTGCTGTTACTCCCAATCTGTCACTTACTACTAACAGTTCACTGGAGCATTAAGTGATGAGGAAATTTTATGACTGGGTAGATGAATCATTCATTTCAAGACAAATAGAACATGTTCAGTCATTTGGGAATTACGTTCCATTCTTTTTTAAGGTTTTATTGGCTCTAGTGGCCTTTATTTGAAAGTAGTTCGACAGGAAACAGGGTAATCAGAGACGGGGGAAGACGTGAGGTAAATGTCGCCAGGACGGGAATCGAACCTGTGACCACCACCACGAGGACTAAGGCCTCCATGCATGGGTTGTGCTTTGCCCCTGGGCCCTCGCAGCCTTAATGTTAAGTATCGAAATCACTTTTATATAAGTGTTTTATGTTAAAATTCTGCAGAATAATGAGGAAAACAGTGTTAAACAAACCCCGGCATGGATTGGTCTATACAGGATCCAGTAGTACAGGGTTATTTTGATAACTGGACAATCCTGTCAAAACGGGTCATAACGAAGCTACCCAATAAATAATTTCAAACTAATTCTGCATATTAAATGCTGTTAGTGGAATTTTGAATGCAGCTTCTCTTTAATTGTCTGTGTAACCTAAAAAAAAAAAAGTATTCGCTTCTCTTTTTAAAGCTGTAGTTAGATTTATGTGAAGCCTGTTGTACTTTCACCCTTCTGGGACTTAGGGAGGGTTTGGAGTTAAGGATGAAGTTTCTCCTCTAATTTCAACGTTTCAAAGGTCTTGTTAACATCCTCAGTATTACAATGCTGCTGTAAAAGAAACGGCATGATCCACAATCAGTTTCACTCACTTCGTGTGTGTCTCCCCAAGACTTAACAACTGCTGGTCCTCCCAGATACAATTACCTTGAAAACACCTCTGTGACGTAGAACCAGAGCTTAAGGCTCGTTTGTACGCAGACAGGGTGAAACCGAGACAGCTGGGTTGGTGAGGAAACAAGAGGCAACCTATTTACTCTGATCGGGAGTAAAAGAGATGGGTGAATGAATGTAAAGGCTCCTTCAAATAGGAGGGTATGTTCTCCAGGGGAAACTGAATACCCTCCACTGTGTCCTAAAATCCCTCATGTGTGCCCTTACTGTCTCACACCCAGCCACAGGAAACACACTCCCTCACTCGATCCCAAGGATAACAGCCCCACCTCAGACCACCGGCTAGTTTAAGGATGTGATTCAAAGTTTCAGGCTTCATCAGCGATGAGCTCAACCCATCCTTTTCAGCACATGAAAAAGGAAGACCGACCCATAGGTAAACGGACACACCCATCAAAGGAACTTTTTTACAAAGTGATTTAGTCCGTTATTTAAAACTATAAATAGACAGGAAGTGGTTTCAGAAAAAAAAAAATAAAAAATCCACCAAAGAGTCAGGTTTCTGTGTGGCGCGATGAATGCAAACACTGAGACTCGTTTCCTAAATCATTCAGCTGATTGGACGAGAGGCCTCCTCATATGACGTCACTGACTCAGGTGTTTTCCTTTCACACTGATCCTGAGTTTCCCCTCCGAGCAAATAGAAAACTGCAGTCAGCCCTCATGATTCAGAGAAGTGCTAAAAAGGGACACTTGAGTGTGCTCTTTAAAACCAGGCATGGCGTAGGATTAATTTATTTTTTCTGATGTTGGTTCAAAAGAATACCTTAGCATCAGTCAGACATTTGCTCTCTTGCACAATGACAATGGAAATCAGATTCCTTTGGGATCTTTGGAAGCTTTCTAATTGTTATTCTTTCAGGGTGGATTGATAATAAAACAACTTCAAGAAGTTTTTGTTTTTTAATTCAGAAAATTTCTGGACCTTCAAGGTCAGGTTGACTGTGAGAAACTGAAGAATGAAAATGAGCTGTACTGATAAGAGCGGTCAAATATCCTGAAACCCACAGTTGGCTCCAAATGACGGGTGTAAAATTCCCTGAAGTCGTTTTGTGATCAAAAAACAAACAACTTCAACAAAAGAAGGAGCTAAAATGCATTACTGAAAGTCCAACATGCATTTTTACATTCATTCTGAGTGGTACTATGCATGCATTTCAATACATTTTCAAACTTACACATCTCCATGCACCAGTCCATACGCAGCATGAATGGTCCACCCAAAGCCACCGAGCAAAACAATAACCAGGACGATGATGACCAGGGCAGGAAGTCCCCAGCCTAGGAGGAAGTAGAGCAGGTAGCGCCGCTCTGTGTGCTCATCATTCATCACCAGCACTTGCCAGAAGTTCACAGCCTGAGAAAACAGTTCAGGGAAACAGACAATTTACTGGAAAGAAATACCAAAGTACAAGCACAAATGATTGTGAATAAAAAAAAATCCTAAAGTAGCAACAAAAAAAAAGAAAAAATAAATAAATACAACCTTAACAGATCAGAAAATGATGAATGATTTCTCAAGGATTTTCCTGGATGTTC